TATTTTCCTCATCCTGCAGGAGATGTTTGATGCCTCCCTGAAAGACAGAGAGTTGAGTTTTAAATCAGCCCCTGGCACCACCATGTTCCTGCACTGGCTTGTGGGAATGGTTTACGTCTTCTACTTTGCTTCTTTCATCCTCCTTCTGAGAGAGGTAGGATCCTGACGACAAACAACTTTTCTTAAAGAAAAAAAATCACAATTTAAAAAAAAAAACTAAAATCTGCTAACTTTTGCCGTTTTATGTCCATCAGGTGCTGAGGCCGGGAGTGCTGTGGTTTCTGAGAAACCTCAATGACCCAGATTTTAACCCAGTGCAAGAGATGATTCACCTCCCCATCTACAGACACCTGCGGCGGTTCATCCTGTCCGTGGTGGTGTTTGGTTCTATCGTGTTGCTCATGCTGTGGCTGCCCATCAGGCTGATCAAACTACTGCTGCCCACCTTCCTCCCATACAATGTCATGCTCTACAGGTAACCAGCAGACATAACAAAAATATAGGTGACATAGCAATAAACTGTGTTAAAGCTGCTGCTTTGTGTCTCTGAAATGGTCTGCGAGACAACTTGATGACCACCAGATAGCCACAATATCTTGTTGCAGTAAATCTTGAAGAACAAAATAGGAAATATTGAGTGTGTTGTGAACACAGAAGACTGATTAAAAAAAAACAGGAGTTGCAGTGATTTACACATTTGAGTTTATGCTGTAGGAAATGTAACAAAAGAGAAAAGTAATACTTAGAAGTAACTGAGAACAGAAGTCTTAAGCCCAATATCTGTGTAACCATGTGGTTCACGCCCTGGCACACATTGTTGAAATTACTTTTTCTGACCCTGTCCACCTCTTCCCCCTCAGCGATGCCCCGGTCAGCGAGCTGTCTTTGGAGCTATTATTGCTTCAGGTTGTGCTGCCAGCTCTGTTGGAGCAGGGACACACTCGCCAGTGGCTCAAAGGCCTGGTGAGGGCTTGGACAGTCAGTGCTGGATATTTACTGTAAGTCAGTACGTTTAGATACACTTCTACATATGTTATGTTATTCAGTCTCTATAACCAAACATGTTTATCTCCACAGAGACCTGCACTCCTACCTCCTTGGGGAGCAGGAGGACAATGATGCCAACCAGCCTGTGAACAACAACAACAATAACAACCCTCCTCCTGGTCACCATAACAATAATAACAACCCTGCACCAGCTGTTGGCGAGGGGCTGCATGCAGCCCACCAGGCCATCCTGCAGCAAGGAGGACCAGTGGGATTCCAGCCTTACCACAGACCCCTTCGCTTCCCGTTCAGGGTGAGAAAGTCCTGACATTTACCTCTGAAGTCTCTGTAGGAGTCTCTGGGCACATGTTTGATTTCCAGTTATATGAATTTTCTTGTTGAGGTTTACAGTTCTTAGATGCATGGATTCCAGCTGACATAGAAAGCTTTTCAGTGTTTTCTGAAATCATTATTAGCATGGTTACTATAGGCTGCTAAAGCACACAGTCATAAATGTATTTAAGTCAACAAGGTCAGTTTTAGTAAGACAGTGAAAACAACTGGCACCACAAGCTTTATATGCAAATACAAATACAGTTATACAGCTTACTAAGTTCAAGTGATCTTATTATTATTTATAACCAAGTATAAAAAAGAAGCTCTCAGCTTTTGTTTCCACAAAGTCTTAAAAAAAGACATACTGAGGCCACCTAGTATTTATGGTTTTTCCACACAAATTTAGAAGTGTGCCAATGCTGTAGGTACCACTTACTGTACATCTGAGGCCGTACAACTCCCAGTTATTACACTCCTCCTCCTTCAGGTTAAAGGCCTTATATTATATATATGTTATAATTGTCCTATATATTTCAATTGTAGTTTATAAAATACAGTATAGACACATTTCTATGGTATTACAGAGAATGACGAACTTGATTACTTCACTACTTTCACTTATATTAAAACAAACTTTTGTCCTCTTTCCTTCAGATTGTGTTGCTCATAGCGTTCATGTGCATCACTCTGCTGGTGGCCAGCCTGGTGTGCCTAACCCTACCAGGTGAGATGTGGTGGCATAACGCACAACCAGCAATTTTCTTTGTAGACCCACACCCAAACCATAATTAAAGAGTGAATCTATACATATATATATGCATGTGTCTGCTGTTTAAGTGGTGCTTTTTGAAGTTCTAACTCAAACAGTAATTAACTTCAAACAAACCTGAGGATTACTGTAAGTTGGAATTAGTTGAAGAGTGGTCTTGTTTGCTCTGTCGCATGTGTGTTTCAGTGTTCACTGGGCGCTGGCTGATGTCCTTCTGGACAGGAAGCTCTAAAATCCATGAGCTGTACACTGCGGCCTGCGGCCTGTATGTCTGCTGGTTGTCTATCCGAGGAGTCACTGTGCTGCTGGCCTGGATGCCCCAGGGACGCACCGTCATCATGCTAAAAGTCCAGGAGTGGACGCTCATGGTAGGTTCCTGTGAGCAGCCAGGTTTCTGTTGCCAAACAGCAAAACTGGGCAGCAGAGTGGTTGGTAATTAGTTGTTCTCTTTCCAGCCATTAGATTGTCTAGAGCTGGACCTGAATGCAATGTTTTGTTAAATGGTTGGTTGCTTATTACAAGCTCATTAGCCGATATCCAAAATGTACAAGCGTCTGCCTAGTAGCTTCTACTCAAGTCATTAACTGTGCCAGTGCTGTCCCAGGAAGCAAGACATTTTGGCGCTATCAAAACACTATCATACTTGTTCCCTTAATCTGTTTTATGATTAATTCTGTCCATTCTATAACCTCGCTTTGGTTGTGCAGATTCTGAAGACCCTGGTTGTAGCTCTACTGGTCGCTGGAGTCATCCCGCTGCTTCTGGGCCTGCTGTTTGAACTAGTCATTGTGGCTCCACTCAGGGTACCCCTAGACCAAACACCCCTCTTCTACCCTTGGCAGGTACGATTGTGTCTGTCTGTGTTATATGGCTCTCTCTTTTCCTCCCCTGGTCTAATGTTTTGTAGGTGTTATAGTTAAGAAAGACTTACAACGTGTCTTCCCATTTGTGTTTCTTAACATTGTCACATAATTCAGAGTTCTTGTATCCTTGTCCGTCCATTGATCTTTCTCATCTCTACAGGACTGGGCTCTTGGAGTGCTCCATGCCAAAATTATTGCTGCCATCACTCTAATGGGCCCTCAGTGGTGGCTGAAGACTGTTATTGAGCAGGTGGGTTTTATATGGATATTACGCATTAACTCATCCATTTAGCTGTGATTTAAGACCTTATGATGCTGTGTATTCTCCTCTTGACCAATAAGTATCAACTGCTCTAACAAAGAAATAGTTTTTAGTCTCTTGAATTAACAAATACATGAATACAGTCTTAGAGATAAATTGCATTGTTATCTGTACAGCGTAACAACTGTAAACATTTTCCTTAGGTTTATGCAAACGGAATTCGAAACATTGATCTCCAGTTCATCATTCGTAAACTGGCCGCTCCGGTCATCTCAGTCCTGCTGCTGTCCTTGTGTGTGCCCTATGTGATTGCTGCAGGGGTGGTGCCTGCTGTGGGTGAGTACTGGAGCACCACACTATGAGAGAAATATCTGTAAATACCCTTTTCTGTGCTGAGTGTCGCAGGCTATCACAGTTGCAAAAGGAGATGAGTAAATCAGTGGCCTTGTCCACCAAAAGCAGCAACAGTTTCCATCATATTAATCCTGTGAATGCGATGGGTAACATAACATTACAAAAGGTCCTCCAAGATGCTATGTTCCTTCTTATCTCGGATGATTCAGTGACTACAGTGTCGGCTAATGGGACGTTCACCAAAACAATTTATAACTGAAGTGCGTTTGTTTTGCAGGAGTTACCCCAGAAATGGAGATTCTAATGCAGAGGAGAATCTATCCCTTCCTCTTGATGGTGGTCTCGCTTATCGGCATCCTGTCCTTCCAGATCCGACAGTTTAAACGGCTTTATGAACACATCAAGAATGACAAGTAAGGATCTTTTAGCACATCTGTGGAAACCAACGTGTGTTTTACAATTTCTAGGTCATTTGTGTCAGTTAACAGTTTGTGTTGTGGTCAGCGATGAGAGTTCGGCTTGGTAATTGTGAAGCCAGTTTCCAGTTTAAATATTTTAAGTTAAATAAAATATCTGGTGCAAACTTGCTCCAATGTTTCAAGGCTGAATGAAAAAGGACATCATTGTGGTCTTTAGCATAGGAAAACTGTAACTTCATGGCTGGAAAGTGTGACAACAATAAGAATCATAGTATAAATATTAATAATAATGTCTCTCTTTATAGGTACCTGGTTGGACAGAGGCTTGTCAACTATGAACGGAAAGCTGGAAGAGCAAGCTCGGTTCCGCCCCCCAACCCCGTCGCAGAGTAGATTTTTGTGTCACACGTTGCCACATTTTTGCACCTGTTACGCTGCGTACATCCTGTCTCTCCGTTACCTCCCCCACCCTCATTGATTTTCAACTCAGTCCTTGGACCGTTCTCCTTTTGAATCTCCTGTGGATCTTGGTGGATTTGATGGATGTCGTTCAATTTCTTGAATTCCCTTTCACGCCCATCAAAGGTGGGATGGGGGGGAAATGTATTATAATCACGGGACAGCAGAGTAAATCCCCCCTCAGAGAAACAGAGCTAGCAGGAGGGTTAGAGGTTTGATTTGAAGCTCACCATCTGTATTGTCTTTCATGCCTTGCTTTGTAAAGAGCTGCCTGATAATTGTACATGTGTAAATACTTTGAATGCAGACTTTGTCTTAAAAAAAAAAAAAGACGGATATGGATTAATGCAATGACCATTGTACATCTTAAAAGTGTATGTATAATTTATTAAATCAAACTGACAATTTATATTTTTTGTTGCATGTGTACTGTACTGTATATGTGGTCAACATACAGCATTTTTTAAAATCTAAATATGAGTCAAAAATTACTTTAAAATGTTGTATAACGTGTATGAATCAAATACTTTAGGCCTGCAACAATTATTTTCATTGTCTAGATTAATCAATTGATTGTTTGGTCTATAAAATGTCGGAAAATAGTCCACCCGTTTCTCAGAGTCCAATGATGTTTAAGACCCCAAAATGTTAAGTCTAATAAGATATAAAACAAAGAAATCTCAATATATTTTGCATTAAAAATGACATTGATTAATTAATTATCAAAACATTAATTTTCTGTCAATCAACTAATCGATTAGTTGATTAATCGTTGCAGGTCTAACCTCTCAATGACAAGGTTCTTCATATAATGCCTAAGGAGGTAAAGATCTCCCATGAGGAAGCGTGATCAATACAGGACTGGTGGCGGTGTGATCGCCTCGTCCTTCGGTATGAGTGGAGAATGTAGCACGACTCCAAATTTCTCTGCTAGAATACCCGGGATCTCCTCGTCTTTGAGCTCCCTGGTCGTGGTTTCCACCTCCCCCCCTGTTCCACCTGTTGGAAACGTGGTGCTGATCAGTCTGCGGCCGATGTAGGTGAGCCTCCCTCCTGGTTTTAAAACCGTGCAGAGGGTCTTGCAGAAGAAGATGGAGCAGGGAGAGCTCTGGTGGTACTCGCACATCTCCGCAAAGTCCTCCATACACCGAGGTTCAAGGGTGAACTTGTAGACCTCTGCCCAGTCTCCATCCGGCCCTCGGTTCTCCTCCCGCTGCCACTCCAGGAACAGCATCCCCGCGTCCTTTCTGATGCGGTACACTCTGTGGCCCTGCTCCTGGGGGCCACTGGTGTCCAGCGAGAGAGGGGCGCTGAAACCCGGGCCACCAAACCCGACGTCGCACAGCCAGCGCTGCCCATCGAGGGCCACCATGAGGATCAGATGGTCGAAAGGGGGCCCGTAGCGACCCGTGATCAAGCTCTTCACCTGGCCTGCGAGCACGGTGGCCTGGAAGCCCAGTTCGTGGAGCAGCCAGGAGAAGAGCCCGTTGTTCTCAAAGCAGAACCCGCCCCGGCGCTGGTTCACGATCTTGTCGTAAAGAAGAGGAGGGTGTAGTTGGACCCGTCCGCCGCTGTGCACCGTGAGGTTTTCAAACGGCACCGACAGCAGGTGACAGGTGTGAACCGACCGCAGCACCTGCAGGCTGGGCTCAGCTGGGCCGGTGAACCCAATGCGGGACAAATACGTCCGCACGTCCATCTTAACCGGAGTCATTTTCAAGAATCACTACTTTCACTTTTAGCCTCAACTCCCCGGTGAATTGCGGTGTCTGTCACTACAGTAACCCGTAGAGACAACTATAATAGCTTAGTGGTGTATGTGTATGGTTCCTGTGTTTTATTTCTCTTCCGGCTGCTGACTTACTTTAAAGTTGTCTTGGGGGCAAAGTGAAAGTACCGCCCTGAACTCAGCTTCTGCTTTCTAACAAGTATTCAGGTTTCGATGAGTATGTGAAGACGGGAATATAAGGTTTATTGACTTTTTGTGGATGCGTTTAATGGATTAGTGTAGGATAAGTAAAAAGCAGTTGTGAAATAGTTTTTTGTTTTCAATCATGACAATTTTTCCAGGAAAAAACTTTATTTATCAAAACAACTTACCAGTTTCCACATTTTCATAAATGTTAAACAGGGCACAATTAAATCATATAAATGTTAGACGGAAAACAATAATACAATAGAATAAAATACTGGCAGATGAACTTTCAAAATAAAATTCAGTAAAAAAAATAAAAAAAACAATTGTGTGCATATGTGCACTGTTTCTTTTTGTGGTATTGCATTGAGTTTGTCAAATATCCAAAATATAAACTTTTCTTTTATAAAATAGTTCCTAATAAATTCAACTACATATAAAACCTGGTCAAATAAAGTAAAGGTAAACGAAAGTAAAAGTGAGATATATATATATATATGTTATGTAGCATCATTACACCCACTTCTTTGGACTTATTCGGGCATAGTGAGTGCATGAATGGTAATTAAAATGTTTAATTAATTAATTAATTAAT